TGGAGACTGGGAATGGAGATTGGGAATGGAAACTGGGAATGGAGATTGGGAATGGAGACTGGGAATGGAGACTGGGAATGGAGACTGGGAATGGAGACTGGGAATGGAAACTGGGAATGGAGATTGGGAATGGAAACTGGGAATGGAGATTGGGAATGGGAGCAGCTCCGGCTGCTGCAGCTCCCATCCTGCTCCTGCTCTTGGTTCAAATCCCGGTCCTGCTCCCAAATCCCGGTTCTATTCCTGGTCCTGCTCCCAAATCCCGGTTCTATTCCTGGTTCTTTTCCCAAATCCCGGTTCTATTCCCAGTTCTGCTCCTGCTCCCAAATCCTGCTTCAAGTCTCGGTTCTTTTCCCAAATCCCGGTTCTTTTCCCGGTTCTTTTCCCAATCCTGGTTCTATTCCCGTTTTTTTTCCCAAATCCCAGTTCTATTCCCATTCCTGGTTCTATTCCCAATTGTTTTCCTAAATCCCGGTTCTATTCCTGGTTCTTTTCCCAAATCCCGGTTCTATTCCCAGTTCTGCTCCCAAATCCTGCTTTTAATCCCGGTTCTTTTCCCAATCCCAGTTCTTTTCCCAAATCCCGGTTCTATTCCCAAATCCCGGTCCCATTCCCGCTCCCAGTGCCGGAGGCCGCGGATGAACGGGATACCGGGAAGGAATTCCGGGAATGACCCCGGCCCGATCCCGGTCCCTTCGGAATCCGGGATATCGGGAGCCGTCCTGTCCCAAATCCACCGGGAATAAAATCCCGATCCCGACGGCAATAAATTCCTGGAATTTCCCCGCGGGAATCACCCAGAGATTCCCGAAGGGAAACGGAAGCGGAAAGGCCGGAGCGATGAATTCCGGAAAACTGGGAATGGAATTCCGACGGATCCCAGGAAAATCCCGGAAAAAGCAGCTCCTTCCTTTCCCTCGCCACTTCCGATGGTTTTCGTTGGAATTCCCGGGATTTTTCCGCGGATGGGAGGAGCTTCCCGAGTTTTTTCCCCTCCCGTTTTCCTCGGATTCCCGTTTTTTCCCAATGCCCGGCTCAAACCCCAGAAATCCCGGGAATATTCCCGCCATCCCCACATTCCAAAGGAAATCCCAAATTCCAGAGATCCAGGAAGGAAAAACAAGCCCAGATCTTTAAATTTCCAGCCGCAATTCCCGAATTTCCAGCGGGAACCGGGAATGTTTGAGCTCTTCCGTCAGGGGAGGGATTTTCATTCCCTAATTCCCGGAAAAATCGGGAATTTTGGAGAGGGGGAAAGGACCCAAACATCCAGGAATAACCGGGATGTGGAAATTCCCGGAAAGAATTCCCGGATTTTCCATCTCCAATCCCGGAATTCCCAATTTGGGACCTTCCTTTGAAGGGAAACCATTCCCAATTCGGGAATTCCTGGAATTTTCACCGCCGGAAAAGCAGGAATTCCCCGGATTTAACGACCACCCCCCTCCCCCCGGCATTCCGAGGCGATTTCCCTCTCCGCTTAATTACATTCCATTAATTAGCAAGCCGTTATTAACGAGGAAAATCCGGGAATTAGTTCCGTTCCCGCCTTTTTATTTTCCCGCTGCCAAATTCCCGAGGATTTTCCCATAAATCCGTGTCCCTCGCCCGATATTAATCCCTTAAAATTCCCTATCAGTCGCTAATTACCGCTAATTACCGCAGATTTTTCTCCGGGAAAAAGCCAAAAATTCCCGAGGGATCGATCGGCATCTCCGTATGCAAATGAGGCCCAGATCGATAATCAGATATGCAAATGAGGATCGATTTTTTTTTTTTTTAATTAGGGGATTAACGGGAAATTCCGAGCTCCGGGAAGCGAAATCCCGGATTTTTTTTTTTTTTTTTTTTGGGAAAAAAACCCCGGAAAAAAAAAAAAAAAACCGGGAAAAAATTCCCAGGAAAAAAAAAAAAAAGCTCCTCGGGGATTGGATATTCCCGATATTCCGGAGCTGAGCATTCCCGAATTTCCTCATCCCGAGGGAATCCGCGGTACTTACGGAGGACGGCAAACCCGGAGGAACCTTCCGGACTTTCTTTGTCTGAACTTCTGGAAAAAACGGGGAGGAAAGGGTTAAAAAAAAATGCGGGATTTCAGGAAAAACTGGGAATTTTCTTTTTTTTCCCGGAATTTTGGGTGGTTGGGAAGGAAGGAAAGGACGGGAGAGGATGGAGAATTCCAAGGGGTGAAAAATCGGGATTCCTGCGGGAATTCGGGGGATGGGAGCACTGGGAATACTGGGAATAATGGGAATACTGGGAGCACTGGGAATACTGGGGATACTGGGAATACTGGGATTTTTGGGAATTCCAGGAATTCCAGGACAATGACTCACCCACGGAGAAGCCGTGGAGGGGCCACTGGGATTTTTGGGAATATTGGGAATTTTGGGAATTCTGGGAATTTTGGGAATTCTGGGGTGACTCACCCACGGAGGAGCCGTGCAGGGGTCACTGGGAGCACTGGGAGCACTGGGAATTTTGGGAACACTGGGATTTTTGGGAATTTCAGGATTTTGGGGATTTCGGGGATTTCTGGGAATCTTGGGATTTCTGGGAATTCCGGGATTTCTGGGATCGCTCACCCACGGAGGAGCCGTGCAGGGGTCACTGGGAGCACTGGGAATTTTGGGAACACTGGGATTTTTGGGAATTTCAGGATTTTGGGGATTTCGGGGATTTCTGGGAATCTTGGGATTTCTGGGAATTCCGGGATTTTTGGGATCACTCACCCACGGAGGAGCCGTGCAGGGGTCACTGGGAGCACTGGGAACACTGGGAATTTTGGGAGCACTGGGATTTTGGGAATCTCGGGATTTTGGGGATTTTGGGGATTTTTGGGAACACTGGGATTTCTGGGAATCTCGGGATTTCTGGGAATTCCGGGATTTTTGGGATCACTCACCCACGGAGGAGCCGTGCAGGGGTCTCCGGCGGGCGCTGCCCCCGTACTGGTAGAACTGGGATCCCGGTTTGCTGGGGGACAGCGCTCCGGGCGTGGCCAGATCCATCTCCCCGCCCAGCAGGCTCTGCTGCGGGAGGGAACACGGCCGGATCTGGGATCCGCTCCCCATCCACCGGATCCCCTCCGGATCCCCGGGATCCCCTCCCCATTCCCAACCCCGGAATTCCGGGATCATTCCCGGGATCCCTTCCCCATTCCCAACCCCGGGATCCTCTCCCGATCCACCGGACCCACTCCCCATTCCCGGCTCCGGGATCCCTGGGATCCCATCCCCATTCCCGGCTGCGGGATCCCCTCCGGATCCCTGGGATCCCATCCCCATTCCCGGCTCCGGGATCCACTCCGGATCCCCGGGATCCCATCCCCATTCCCAACCCCAGAATTCCGGGATCATTCCCAGGATCCCATCCCCATTCCCGGCTCCGGGATCCCCTCCGGATCCCATCCCTATTCCCAACCCCAGAATTCCGGGATCATTCCCAGGATCCCATCCCCATTCCCGGCTGCGGGATCCACTCTGGATCCCTGGGATCCCATCCCCATTCCCAACCCCGGAATTCCGGGATCATTCCCGGGATCCCTTCCCCATTCCCGGCTCCGGGATCCCCTCCGGATCCCTGGGATCCCATCCCCATTCCCAACCCCGGAATTCCAGGATCATTCCCAGGATCCCATCCCCATTCCCAACCCCGGAATTCCGGGATCACTCCCGGGATCCCATCCCCATTCCCGGCTCTGGGATCCCCTCCGGATCCCTGGGATCCCATCCCCATTCCCAACCCCGGAATTCCGGGATCATTCCCGGGATCCCTTCCCCATTCCCAACCCCGGGATCCACTCCTGATCCACCGGACCCACTCCCCATTCCCGGCTCCGGGATCCCTGGGATCCCATCCCCATTCCCGGCTGCGGGATCCCCTCCGGATCCCTGGGATCCCATCCCCATTCCCGGCTGCGGGATCCTCTCCGGATCCCCGGGATCCCATCCCCATTCCCAACCCCAGAATTCCGGGATCATTCCCAGGATCCCATCCCCATTCCCGGCTCCGGGATCCCCTCCGGATCCCATCCCTATTCCCAACCCCAGAATTCCGGGATCATTCCCAGGATCCCATCCCCATTCCCGGCTCCGGGATCCCGTCTGGATCCCTGGGATCCCATCCCCATTCCCAACCCCGGAATTCCGGGATCATTCCCAGGATCCCATCCCCATTCCCAACCCTGGAATTCCAGGATCATTCCCAGGATCCCATCCCCATTCCCGGCTCCGGGATCCCCTCCGGATCCCTGGGATCCCATCCCCATTCCCAACCCCAGAATTCCGGGATCATTCCCAGGATCCCATCCCCATTCCCAACCCCGGAATTCCGGGATCACTCCCGGGATCCCATCCCCATTCCCGGCTCCGGGATCCCCTCCGGATCCCTGGGATCCCATCCCCATTCCCAACCCCGGAATTCCAGGATCATTCCCAGGATCCCATCCCCATTCCCAACCCCGGAATTCCGGGATCATCCCCGGGATCCCCTACAATATAGAATCTGTAATGGAATTTATAATAATTAAAAATTTATAATTGATAATATAAAACCTGTAATGGAATTTATACTAATTAAAAATTTATAATTTATAATATAAAACCTGTAATCTAATTTACAATAATTATTAATTTATGATTTATAATATGAAATCTGTAACGTAATTTATAATACTTAACAATATATTATTATATATATAATATTATATATATAATATATAATAATATAATAATTTATAATTTATAATATAAAATCTGTAATCAGATTTATGATAATTAATTTATAATTTACAACATAAAACCTGTAACTCATAATATATCATCATTAATTTATAATTTAGAATATAAAACCTGCAATATAATTTATACTAATTAATAACCTACAATTTCTAATATAAAACCTAATATAATTTATGACACTTAATTATCAATTTATAATTTATATTATTAGAACATTTGCAATGCAATCTATAATACATAATTATTAATTTGTAATTTATAACATACATATAGAACCTGTAGCATAATTTAGAATCTATAATTATCAATTTATAATTCAGAACGTATAGAATTCGTAATAAAATTTATAATATATAATTAATCCATGATTTTATCATTTATGAAATTGAAAATTTTTGGTTGCAGCAATGAAAACGGACAAACGGGAATTTAAAATTGAAAATGCATTGATGGAGAATGGATTAATTGCTAATTAATTACTCCTATCGAATCATCTATATGCACCATGTAATAAACACAGAATGCATCCTGATTTTATTTATATTGATGTTATTTTATAGATATTAAATATATTATATTCTATATATTGTTATTACATAACACTATATTATATATAATATATAACATACAATACATATTATATAATTGTAATACATAATATACAATATATATATTATATACTTTATATATTATACATTATATATTTTATACTTTAAATTATATACTATATACTATATACTATATACTATATACTATATTATATACTATATTATAGACTCTATATTACATATTATATTCTGTATACTATATATTATTTACTCTATATATATAATATAAAATAAATCCTGACACTATACGTATAAATACGTATATTTACATATTGATACATTTATGTATATATAAATATATTTTATCTTTATATAGTTTCTTTATATATTAATATATCATATAATTAATATATATTTTATATTTTTATATATATTTTATATATTGATATATTTATTTTATCTATATTGATATTTAATTATTGATACAACGCGCCCCTATGGCATTATTAATATTTAATGTATTAAATGTACCATGGATTAATTAATATGTATTCCCAATTAATAATGTTTAATGTATTAAATGTACAGTGGACTAATTAGAGTGTATTCCTAATTATTGATATTTAATGTATTGATATTTAATGCATTGATATTTAATGTATTAAATGTACAATGGATTAATTACAATGTATTACTAATTATTTATATTTAATATATTGATATTTAATGTATTAAATGTACAATGGATTAATTAAAATGTATTACTAATTATTACAGTCGATTAATTAGAATGTGTTCCTAATTACTGCTATTTAATGTATTAAATGGACAGTGAATTAATTAGAATGCATTCCTAATTATTGCTATTTAACGTATTAATATTTAATGAATTACATGTACAGAGGATTAATTGATATGTATTCCCAATTAATAATGTTTAATGTATTAAATGTACAGTGGACTAATTAGAGTGTATTCCTAATTATTGATATTTAATGTATTGATATTTAATGTATTAAATGGACACTGGATTAATTAGAATGTATTCTATATATAATGTATAGAATGCAACATTATACAATGCATTGCATATAACTAATTATTCATGGCATGTATTAATGTATAATTATTAATATTTAATGGATTAAATATACACTGGATTAAATAAAATGTACTCTATACATAAATGTATTTCTATAATGGAATAATATGGAATGCAACCTATAGAATTAATTATTCATGGCACGTAATAATGTATAATTTATATTATATTAATTATATTAATTATATTATATTGTATTATACTATATTATATGATATATTATGTGTTGATATTTAATGTATTGAATATACATGCATTATATATGTTCTTTATAGAATGTGTTTTATACAGAATGAATTAATGTATAATTATTAATATATGTGTTATATACAGAATGCATTCTATACATGTATACATTCTATAGAATGAATTATTTATGGATTGTATTCATGGATCATTATCAATATTTAATAATTTAATGTCCCAATATAAATATATATATTTGATATATAGAACATATATTATATATAATACACAAAATATAATGTGTTCCTATAAATATATATGCATTTTATATATAGAATATATATCTAGAATATATAGAATGTGCTAATATAAGTATATATTTTATATTTAGAACACATTATGAATGTATAATACACAAAATATATAGAATGTGTTCATATAAATATATATGCATTTTATATATAGAATATATATCTAGAATATATAGAATGTGCTAATATAAGTGTATATTTTATATTTAGAACATATATATTATATATGTAATATAATAATATATAGAATGTGTTCATATAAATATTGTATAGGCATTTTATATATGGAATATAATATCTGGAATATATAGAATATATTTATATAGATATGTTATATATATGAAATTGAAAATAGAATATATAGAATGTATAGAATATGTTCATATAGTCTATTACCATGTAATTATTAATGTATATGGAATTAAATTGAATGTATGTAATATAGCATGTGTTAAATGAGGTGTAATATATAGACCATATATATTATATATGTACCATGTATTGTCCTGTATTTTATATGGAATGTAGTTTATATAATGTATATTGTGTATTAAACAAATTGTATCATATATAAAAAAAATTATATTTACATAATGTTTTTATATTATATATTATATATAAGTATATATTATTATGCATACATATTTTATCTACATAATACATAAAGCTATAGAATGTATATTATTATATAACATATAAATATATAGAACGTATTCATATGAAATACTAATTAATATTACTCCATAATAAATAATATAAAATATTCCATATTAAATCTAGGCAATACATTATAGATTCAATGCATTAAACAGAATGTATTATATACATCAAATATTTCTGTAGGTTATGTTTTATATAGAATATATAATATGGATTTAACGAGGAACTCATTATTTATATTGAATTAATTATAGAGTGCATTAATAATTATTATATTATAATAATTATAATTGATATATATACATTAAATAGTGCCATACATACATGTATTTTATGTATCATATACATTATATAGAATGTATGATATATAGATTATATATTATGCATTAAACACAGAATGCATGATAAACCAGGCATCAATTAATGAATCTATTAATAGAATGTATTAATATTTAATTATTAATTACTAATTATATATTTCCC